TATTGGTTCGAAAAAATGTGTTTAAACATGTCCCGCATCGATATTTCAATAATTGTTCGATCCCCGGATTATCCCAGGATCAAAAGTCGATCCCAGGATTAAATCCCGATCCCGAGATTGAAAAATCGTCAGGATTTTGCAAACCCCAGACACAACAGTATCCGAGGATTAGCTTATCAGCAGTGCTTTCCATTAGGCACGATTACAAGCAACTGCGAAACAACGGACTGTTCTTTACCATATGAGAATATGTAACACAACGAATCCAATGTTGTTGCATAAAGAGCCCTGAAAATGAAGTTGCATGTTATCCTTTTCTCTATGCAATGTTCGAAGGCTTTATTGCTGTCCACTGCATTATTGCCGTTCGAGAGGTGGCATCCTAGCGTCTGAAAAGGATTTATACTACATGATTTGATGTGAATAAAGGTGGCTGTGATCAACGGATTTTTTCACCATACAAACAGATATATTTTGGTGGAGTGTGTTGTTTGGATTGCAGATATTTATTCCTGTATATATGAGGTATGTTGTTAAATTGTACAAAACTTTTCCTTTTTTATATTTCATGTTGTTATCATAAATTGTACAACGAAAATATTTCATGTTATTATTATAATATGTTAAAACCGCGATATTATAATCTCACTGCCACTTTACAATAATATATTTAAATTGTTATTCTCCTTTGCCTGTTTTAAAATCTTTTCCTCCTCCCCAACAATAGTTAGGGTAGTATATTCGCCAGATAGTATTAAACTGTATTATACTACTTTATACATATTGACATGCGAATAAAATATTATTATTATTATTATATTGTGCGAACGAGACAAGACATCACCACTAATCGCACCAAGTGGCATAGCTCTCGTAACTTGAGATTTGGCGTGAAGTTCAGTGCATTTCTAGGAACTACTGAATCTCGGCTGCATTTTGATATACATCTTTCTTACAATTAGTAATTTCTTCTTTCAGGACAGAGAGAATTTCAGTTACTGCAGCATTTATACCAATTGTGACTATTGAACACCACCGCTGATCACGCTAAGTGACATAACTCTCGTAACTTGAAATTTGCTGTCAAAGTTCATTGTGTTTTTCTAGGGTAGTCAATCTCGGTTACAAGGTGGTTTGTATTTTGGTTATGAATTTTCCCTCTCGGGTGGTTAACAGTTCAATTATTTCTTGAACTTTTGTACTTTAAGCCAAGTAAAAAATCTCGAGCATTGCTTTATTGCTGCCCAATCCATACATCAAATTCTATTCTCCTGGAACTTCCATTAAAACCACACATAAATGGCCCAGACTTGTTCTCGTTTAATGGGTAAGAAATCTGCATTTCTCAACACCTCAAATAAAAACGCGAGTTCCGTCATTTGGCGAAGTGTCATTCCGTTCGTACTTGGCGAATTGTCGACTTATTGTTCAGTTTTTGAAAGGAAAAAATTACAATTCTCTGGCTGAGAGGCTAAAAAGTGAAAAAGTCTACGTGAGAAAATCAAGGAATATCTCAGTCTGAAGCAAATGCGTGTAAATAAATAATGAGTAAATGATTTCTGTTGTGGAAATGATTTCCCATCGCAGCCATAGCAATTAACACACTGTTTGTTGCATGCAGTTTCCTTTATCACACTTCCACATTATTACACTTGTGCGTATATGATAATGCTGTTGACGTGCGCACTGAACAGAATTATTTTCATAACTATAATATGATCAAAAGTGACAACTCCGTGAAAAGTTAGACGGTGGTTTACGATGAGTTTTGGTTCCAGTTAGGTGTGCTAGCTAGCATTCATCCATTTTGCTGATCATAACCAACCGAGAATTTATGTTTTTACGAGCTCGATGGCATGTAAAATATGCAAAAGTGACAACCATAGTAACGATAATGGAGTCAGCCAACGAAAGCAGAGATCCAATAGAGCCTGTTGAAAAGTGCAAACCGGAATTTAGAACGATGTGGAATATTGTTGAGTGGTTAAATATACCCGCAACACTGCAATCACCGTGTAATTGTTGCCGTGAAAATAAGAACACCCCACACAGTGATCCAAATTTCCATTTAGACGTGTAATTGAATTCAGACGTTTTGCTTAGCTTACTCCAGATTCAAACAAAAACTTAAGCCTAACATTGAACGGTAATTTTAAGCAAAATTTATGCGCGATATATTATTGAAGTGTTGGTGTTTGCACAGAATTAATAACAATGCTCATGATTATAATTATAATCAATGGGTTTACTGACGATGAGAATAAAACAATAGGATAGTAAAAACAATAAGACGTGTCGCGTGCCTTCGGGAAATTTTGAGAAAACTGAAAAATATTTGTAGGATATAAATTGATGAGCAGTGATACGAAACAGCGAGATCAAATTCGTGTTGTTCGTGATTTCGAATGGAGTGCTAAGGTGAAAACTCTACGATTATTTTTTGGTGTTCAATTTTATTCAATATTTACATTTACATGTTCGTTTTGCCTGTTCAGTTACAATCGTTTCAACTCTATATTGAAAGCAGTTGCATTTTAACTGCATTCACTGATTTCATAAGCAACTAATGAATATTATCAATATTGGAAACAATTTGATAAAAGTGATCAACATTCGATAATGATATATACTAATCAAACGTTGATTTTTTTAACGTAGGTGTATTGAGTTACTGAAATGAAATGAAAAATAACAATGTGTTTTTGGGTAGAGATTCTGTAGAAGATTAATTTTAAGTGGAAAGTTGAACCAATTATCAAAAAGCTGGATTTTATAAAAATGAGATAAGTTGAAGTGTTTCATTTGAATTGCATTCAGTTGGTCGGTGACTGTGATAAATCACTGGAATATCTTCAACCGTTGGTGCAACTGAATTTGAATTTTATGAATGACAATTCCATAAAACAATTCGAATTCACACCCGAAGAGGTCAATTTCGTTGTTAATTTTCCTTTCGGTTATTCATCAACTCTTCCCTTGAATGATTTTTTTGGTTATCATTGAGGAGAAAAAATTGAAAGCCGAGAAAAAATGAGGTTATTGATTTTGGTCATTTCATAAGTTTGAATGTGAATTCAACAATGATTACTAAATGATCGTTTTTGAAATTTGAATATTTTTCGAGATCATTTTGAGGTAATTGAATAAATATTCCACAAAAATTTCCGTTATTCATCAGTTTTTTTCATAAATCAGTTCATCATAAAAATAAACAAGTTATTCATTATCGTTATTCATCGTAAAAATAAACAAGTATAACAAGCAGATGGATAGTAAAGTATTCCCAGTTGTGTGATTGATGAATTATTTGCAGTTATCTCGTTTCATCACTGAACTGTCTGAAACCATATCGTCAGAGTCACAAAGCGCATCATGAGCGGATTGATTTACCCGAAACTTCCTTCTGGGTATGTCTGTAATATGTTGCTGTTTGTATTTATTTAGTCTTTCTTTCGGTTAGATGATACACTGCTATGTCATCACCATTAGAAAATTTAATGTTCGGTTCATTATTTCAGTTATATAGCAAAGTCGGCAGTTGTGATATTGGTGTCGGGAAGTGCTTTATATACGACCATCGAGCTTTTGGTCGGAGGCGAAAAATTCTATAGAAATCAGGTCGAATTGTGAATTTGAACATTTCCTCCAATTTCATGTCTACATTGCTTTATTATTTCTTCGTTAAATATTGCAGAAATTTTCTTTTTCCCCCATAAAATGAATGGGATCTCGTTGTCTATTTAGTGCAATAATCCCAAGATCCAATACTGCAGTCGAGAGATGTTGTGTTTAAAATTGTTAGTGTGATTATCAGATATTAGTTAAGTTTGAGGTGATATGATCTTATAATATGGCATAATACGACATGCATTTGCAGATGATAAAAAGAGATTTTAATGATTTTAATAAAGGTGATAAATATTTGGCGGTACTATACGGTGGTCATATCGATATTTTAATGAAAGTAACGATAGTGATAGTGGTGATGATGCTGATAATATTGACAATAATAACATTAACAATAACAGCAACGATAATAATAACCATAATAATAATAATAGCAATAACAATAAATATTATATTCAGATGATGCCAGTGGTACATCGAGTGCTCGACGCAGAGTGTGCGCATCGGTTGGGTGTGAAGTTAGCAAAATACAATCTTTTGCCGAAACTCGGTTACAATCGTATTGAATATCCCGAATTGGAATGTAGCGTTTTCGATAAGAAATTCAAAAATCCAATCGGATTGGCCGCTGGTTTTGATAAGGGTAACTTATTGTGTGGATTTTGTTTATTCGTTTGTAGAACTCAATTTTTGTTTCATTCATTTATACGTATTGTTTGTGGTTTATTTATTTCTTGATGTTATTCTTACTTCGTTCGGTGGTATCATTTAGATATTCATTTATTTGTGTTTGACAAGAAATGGTCATGCGTCTTTGCAGATGGAATAAATTTTTGTTGTCCAACAATCAACACGGCATATGATATCGCTTTTATACAGCTGTTAATTGTTATTATTTTTGTCATTATTATTATTGTTATTATTATTATTATTAATATCTTTATGAATATTATTGCTATTATTATTATTTTAATATTAGATGGCGAAGCAATAGATGGTTTACGTAAAAGTGGTTTTGGTTTTATTGAAATTGGTACGGTGACACCATTGCCTCAAGAGGGGAATCCAAAACCGCGTCTGTTTAGACTCACTGAAGATGAGGTTCGTTACTCAGTTTTGTTATTATTATTGAAGTTATTGTTATGATTATCATTATTGTTGATAAGAGCATTATTACTTTTGTTTGCTCAGTGTATGCGTGAATGTTTATGGAAATACAAATGATTTGATCGTGATCAAATGATAAACATTATAATAGAAATCTTTTTTTTTGAAATGGTCCGTCCGATAATCTAATGAATTTGATGGAATCGTTGATGAAATTTAGAGAAAGTGATTTTGAAGGGATTAATAAATCGTTTCGGATTTAATAGCGCTGGTGTAGGTACGGTTTACAATCGAGTCAGGAAGGCGTTCATTCCGAATTCGGATGTACCTCTCGGCGTGAACATCGGCAAAAATAAGGTAGCATTGACATTGTGGTTAATAATTTCTTTTATCTTGTTTTGTTCTTTCTATTTATTTTGTAATTTCTTATGTCTTTTGATTAATTTGTTTTTTGGCTTAATCGTGTTATTATGTAAAGACAATAGCGTATGCAGTAGGAGGAGGAGAAGAGGAAAATAAAACGTTTTTTTTGCATATTATCAGATGTTGAACAAATGTTTCTTATCGGCATCTGAACAAGTAACAAGTAGCAATAGTCTCTGTCAATCGCTAGATAATAATATTCACTAATAAAAATGCACAAAAAATAACAGAAAACGGACGATGTACGTAGTGACTACGATATCGGTGTGAATTATTTTGGTGCATGTAGCGATTATTTGGTTATCAATGTCAGCTCACCGAATACACCTGGCTTGCGCTCACTGCAACACAAATCTGATTTACAGACGGTTCGTTATTTTGTTTTGTAATTGTCAATCGTTAGATTAATTTATTAATAAGCGTATGTGACGTTTGAAGAACTCGTGCAAAAGTAGTTGTTGATTATAGGTGATGTTTTCGGTTCAGCTGAACTTAGAAAAACTTTAACTTAAGTTTACCGTGATTGAAGGTAGATAAAATTTGAATTCGTTTTATCCGAATCATTTTGTTCTGAAAAGAGTTGATATTTCCTGATGTAAACCATTTTGTTGAATTTTTCTGAAGAGGGAATGAGACAATTCAAACTGATGGTTCAATTTCTTAATTATTCCAGCTGATGACTTCTATAGCATCGGAAGCAAATCGTATCACTCCTAAGAAGCCAACAATTCTTTTGAAAATATCGCCGGATCTTAGTGAATCCGAGAAAAAAGATATTGCTAAGGTATTTTATCTGTTATTATTGTTATCCTGTAACATTACCTTACGTGTGTGTATACAAGATATTACGAAGTTTTGAAGATTAATGTAATAATTGTCCATGGAATGTGAATGAATCGGTGAGTTATCAAATGAACGGTGTATTAAGATAGCAATGGACAAACGTTATGGTATCGATGGCTTAATTGTAACGAATACAACAATATCGAGAGAATCGGAGAGTGTGCAATTAAAGAGTGATTTGAAAGATGAAATTGGTGGTTTGAGTGGTAAACCTTTGATGAAGTTGAGTACGGAGTGTGTTCGAGATATGTACAGGTCAGGTTTTTGATTGAGTGATCAACGAACAAATTGATCAATAATTCGATCAATTCAGTCGTCGAAAACAAGCAATTCGATAACAAATCTGTTGACTTTTGTTAGATTAAGTAGCCACATGATGTTTATATTTCCATTTTGTATCATCGACCGAAATTGATGAGTATCGATGCATTCTTTTGGTTATCATTAGCACTGTAACAGTTATTATTATTATGATTATTANGTGGAGGCGTATCGTCTGGTGCAGACGCGTATGCAAAGATACGAGCAGGTGCGAGTTTGGTTCAGCTTTATTCTGCTCTGGTTTATCAAGGTTTGGTTTTATTTCATTGATGGTTTCGTTTCGATTCGTTTGATGCTGTTGGGATTGATTGGTGGTCGTTGTCCGATAGCGAGTGGGATTCGCTGATGAATTCATCGTTCGAAATTTGAACGAATTTTTGTCGATAAATGATTGCATTAACGCTTCATGTTGCTTTTTTCCAGTAGCACTCATCGGTAATCGACTGAAATCACGTATTCTTCTTTCTTTTCAGAATTTTTACTTACTTGCCGAAATCTCATTTTTCTGTCAGCATTTTTGTACCAATCAACACGTGACCAATCTGTTTCTGTATTAAACACTCACTGAAGTTGGTTCGTTTACTTGAGGATTCCCCGTGATCGGGAGAGTAAAACGCGAGCTAGTTGAGATGTTACGATCAGATGGTTATTCGAATATATCGCAGGCAGTTGGTGCCGATCATCGCAAATGATGCACTCATTGACATTCCGTCAGCGTGAAGTGTCGTTTTGAGTTTGACTGATGTTGAACAATCGTTAGGGATGTATGTTTGAGTAGTTTTAGTTGGTTTATTTTGTTGATTCGATATGAAATCGGTCTACTATATGGGTGTTTTTTAGGCATTTGTAATAATTTCAATTGATCGTTTTCACTGAGTGTTTGATTTAATTTGTAAATATACCATTAAAAAATTATCAAAATTGAGTCTATAAGCA